CTTCGGCCTATGGCTTTCCTTTATAACGTACGTAACCTAATGTCAGACACAAGGACAGTGGCCATCACGAAACATGGTGACAGGACATTGTTAGGTTGGAGGAAGGAAAAACAAGGACATGCAAACAGAACAGAGATGCCATAGGGGGAGAACAGACCAGACCCCAAAGTCCGTGCCTTATATGGAAAGGGGGCAGCTCTCCCCGAATTCCATCCTGATGTGCCAACTGGGACCCGGATGTCAGCCTCCTCCCTCTTGGAAGGAAGTTTCTAGTTGTCTATCATGTCACCTTTAGCCAATCATACCTCTCCACGCCCCCTAGGATCGCTTGCCCGCTCCTCCCCTCCTAGCCCCTTATAAGCCCCCACCTCCCTGACCGGGCGTGTCTCCCCTGGCCTGAGAGGCACCCAAATAAACTGCCTGGCCCTTTGTTGCCTCTCTTCGCCTGCTTATTTCAGCTAAAATTTATCTTACAGACATTATGCTAGATGGTGCTGTTTTCTCATTACACGTGAATCAAGCTCACTCAACATTCAATCCCCATTGCAAACATTGCTTAAATCCTATCAGTTGAATGTGGGCATTTTTTTTTCCTTTTCCCTAACAGGCAAACCCAAGGAGTTTAACACATGCATGTCGGGGATGCAGCCGCCGCCAAGAGATTATGCGCCTTTACTCGCATCTGATTTCAGATCGTCATCCTTCTTTCCTGAGGCTCTCTGGCTTCACCTGATACTATTTCACAGCAGCCTAAAGGACGTATTTAGCATATTTTGTCAGGGGGGCAGGTGTGTTCATGATGAATTCTCTTGTTTTTTATCTGAAAATGCTTTCACTTCGTTGGTACAGGATTCTGGGTTGATGGTTGGTTTTTCCTTTGTTTCAGCACTTTAAAGATGTGCGAGGGTGAGTTCTTTATATATATGAACAACAATATTATGCACAGCAGTGATAGTAGTATAAGGTGAAGGGCTCCGTCCAAAAGGCTGCCCTCCACGCTCCACTCCAGACACGAGTCGCAAGCCCCAGGCCGTTCCCTGTGCTTCTGACCTGCCCGCTACAGCGTGGAGGTTCCCACAACCTCCTCCTCAGGTTCAATTAATTTGCTAGAGTGGCTCACAGAACTCTGGAAACCACTTAACATTCACCAGTTTAATAAAGAACACCATAAGGGATACAAGTTAACAGCCAGATGAAGAGAGACACAGGGCAGGGTCCCAATAAAGGAGCTTCTCTCCCCGTGGAACTTGGGGCCTGGCTCTCCAAGCATGGAAGCTCCCTCTCAGACGGAGAAGCCGGATGCAAGAGACCCTAAGTCTTTCTCAGGGTCTTCTGTGAGGGCTTCATTGCACAGCCTTGATTGACTAAATCATGGGCCATTGGCTGATTCAGCCTCCAGCCCCACCCCTGGGCAGGGGTCCAAAGGTCTCTCATTACCATGACAAAACAGCCATTTCATCTTTAAGACTGCAGTGTTTTCCGGAACTGGATGAAGACCAAATATACCTGGGAAATACATACTTGGTCACACGAATGATTCATGTGTATCACAAGATGTCATCCCACTGACCTCCATCACTTCTGATAAGTTAACAGTAATTCATATAGTGCTTTCCTTGTAGGTGATGTGTCATTTTTCTCTATCTGCTGTCAAAATTTCCTCTTTATCTATATCAGCAGTTTGCCTAGAATGTCCCTCAGTATGGTTTTCACTGTTTTTATCCTGCTTGGATTTCAGTGAGCTTTCTGAATCTGTAATTTTTCACCAAACTGAGAAAATGTTGGCTATTATTTCTTCACTTTTCTCTTTTGATCACTGTCTGGTGCTTTTAGGTATCTGTTTTTCATATTTTGTGCAGAGTCAGTATTTGCTATCTGCAGGAGAACTGGCCCAGATATTCTCAGTGGAAGATGCCAGAGACTCTGGGAGGGTAGCCGAAATAACTGGGGCAGGAGTATAACTGAGTGGGAGGTAACTTCCCAGCTGAGGGCAAATCACCTTTGAAGCCAAAATCAGTCAAAGGGAGAAATAAAGTGGGAGAAACCTGTTTATTGCTTACAAGCAGTCGTCCACTTCTGCTCACCTGTGTCTCTCACAACCTAGTGTAAAAAGGGGCCCCACCAAACTTCTCCAGTCCAGTTATACCCTTGCTTACCCAACCCTTGGAAACACCTGTTGATCTGGAGATGGATTACTCTCCACCCCTGGGAAGCACCTATTGATACAGAGATGCACTAAGGCCAGGCGAGATATTCTGGAAATACTGAAATTTTGCCCACAAGGAGAATATAACATTCTCCAACTCAAATGTTTTCTAAAGTCCTCCAGGCACAAATGCCGGTACGCAATCCTCTGTGGTTCATACATCCTTACACATCTAAGCAACTCTGACCCCAGAAGTGAATGTCACTTGCTCACCAGGTTTCCTCACTGTTCCAACAGGAGGGGAAGTTGGCCAAGACATGAAATACAGAGGCATGTTAAGAATTTGCTCAGTATTAAGGATTTGGAGTCCAATAACAGCAGTTTGTTTAAATTACTTGTGGATATCAATTTCATTTTTATTTATTTTTTCCTACTTTTTTTATTAGGGTATCATTGATATACACTCTTATGAAGGTTTCACATGAAACACAATGTGGTTGCTACACTCACCCATATTATCAAGTACTCCCCCATACCCTATTGCAGTCACTGTCCATCAGTGTAGTAAGATGCCAGAGTCACAACTTGTCTTCTCTGTGCTACTGTCTTCCCCATGATCCCCCTACACCATGTGTACTAATCATAATACCCCTCAATCCCCTTGTCCCTCCCTCCCCATCCCCCCCACCCCTCCCCTTTGGTAACCACTAGTCCCTTCTTGGAGTCTGTAAGTCTGCTGCTGTTTTGTTCCTTCAGTTTTGCTTCATTGTTATACTCCACAAATGAGGGAAATCATTTGGTATTTGTCTTTCTCCACCTGGCTTATTTCACTGAGCGTAATACCCTCCAGCTCCATCCACGTTGTTGAAAATGGTAGGATTTTCCTTCTTATGGCTGAATAACATTCCATTGTGTACATGTACCACATCTTTATCCATTCATCTACTTATAGACAGGTTGCTTCCCTTTCTTGGCTATTGTAAATAGTGCTGCGATAAACAGGGGTGCAAGTGTCTTTTTGAATCTGAAAACTTGTTTTCTTTGAGTAAATTCCTAGGAGTGGAATTCCTGGATCAAATGGTATTTCTATTTTTAGCTTTTTGAGGAACCTCCATACTGCTTTCCACAATGGTTGAACTAGTTTACATTCCCACCAGCAGTGTAGGAAGGAGGGTTCCCTTTTCTCCGCATCCTTGCCAGCATTTGTTGTTCCTAGTCTTTTCTATGTTGGCCATCTAACTGGTGTGAGGTGATATCTCATTATGGTTTTAATTTGCATTTCCCTGATAGATGCGGAGCATCTTTTCATGTGCCTTGTTGGCCATCTGAATTTCTTCTTTGGAGAAGTGTCTGTTCATATCCTCTGTCCATTTTTTAATAGGGTTATTTGCTTTTTGGGTGTTGAGACGTGTGAGTTCTTTATATATTTCGGATGTTAACCACTTGTTGGATATGTCATTTACAAATATATTCTCCCATACTGTACTGTAAGATGCCTTTTTGTTCTGCTGATGGTGTCCTTTGCTGTACAGAAGCTTTTTAGCTTGATGTAGTGCCATTTGTTCATTTTTGGTTTTGTTTTCCTTGCCCAGGAAAAAGTTGCTCATGTTTATATTCAAGAGATTTTTGCCTATGTTTCCTTGGTTTTATGATTTTATGACTAACACACAGGTCTTTGAACCATTTTGAGTTTACTTTTGTGTATGGGGTTAAACAATAATCCAGTTTCATTCTCTTACATGTAGCTCTCCAGTTTTGGCAAACAATAATTTTAACATTGCAATCATTAAAAATTGGACCAAAGAGGAATGCTTCATGATGTGGAAATATGTTTGCTCTATATAGCAGAGAAAAATGTTACAAAAATCATGTACCATATACTTCTATTTTCTAAACTGTGAATATAAATCTCCACCCAGGTGTGAAGTAAAAATATATGCTAAGCTACAAGCCAGAAGTGTTCATTGTGTTAGCAGGTGTTCTGAGTTGTGGGATTATGGACGAATATCATTCCTCTTCTCTTAGTCTCTTGCTCACTTTTTGACAATAAACATTCTAATCCCGTGTACTCTCTAGTCCTCCCTGCTTTCTGTTTCCCCATAGCCTTTCACACCGTTCGATAAACTATTTATTTTACTCATTTATTTGTGACCTGTCACCTTCCACTTAAAGGATCTAACAGGGCGGGGAATTGTGTCGTTTCCCCTTCTGCTGTCAAGCTCGTCCTTGGTTCCTTCCATTTCTAATGCAGGTACCAGTTCTAGTTTTCTTCGTCCCAAACAGGGGCCATTTCCCCTCTGGTCAGGGGCAGAAGGGGGGTCAATCCCAGCATCTGGTTGCAGGGACGTCGTCTCATTCACTGCCTCTGAGCCGTGATAACAATGGCATTCGTCCTGTGCAGGTGAAAAATTCACTAATTTGCTGTTGTCACACAGGTGGTGGAACGCAGTGCGGTTCCCAGCCGGGATTCTTACCGTCGCAAAACTGAGCTTGGAAAGAAAACCACGCTCCCACGGACCGCTCCAGTGGAGCGCGGTCCGAGCGGCACCACCGCCACACGGACCCGGCAGCGTCTTCTCACAAAGCCGCGCACAGGGGCCGCGGGCGGCGCTCTTCTCTGCACATCCCGCCTGGTAACCAGGGACGCTTCTGGGCTCCAGGCAACGGAAGGGGTGTGTGGGGCTGGGGCCGGGTGTGCTTCATTCTATGCGCCTGCGCACACTCGCCCCGCCCCGCCAGCCCCTGTAGCCCCGGGCCACGCCCTTCGAGCAAAAGCACGTTCAAACGTAGGCGCGCGTCTCGGACACTACAATGCTTCCGGCGTCAACCACCGAGGACACGCCCCGCCCCGTCCCCGCCCCTCGCGTCGGGCTCCGCCAACCCCGCCCATCCTGGAGATGCGGCGCCTGCGCACTCGGAATCCGGGAGTCGATCCCCGAAGGCTTTCGGGTGAGCGCAGTGGCTTCCGGGCGGAGGCCGGTGGGTTGTTCCGCGTGGCCCGGAACCGAAGCCCGAGGGTCCCTGGCTTGTGAGCGGCCCCAGCCCGGGCGCTGCCGCGCCGTCGTCTCCGAGCCGACTACATTTCCCAGAAGCCGGCGCGGCGCGCCTCCGGCGGCCGGCAGGGCGGAGTTCCAAGGCTGCCGCTCGGGCGGTGCCAGCCTCAGGGCGGGACCAGGGTCCGAGGTGGGTGTGCGCGGGCTCCGCGGGCGTGAGGCGCCGGCAGCCGGCAGACCGGCGTGTGTGTGTAAGAGACAGCAGAGCATCTGGGGTGGGTAAGAGGGACCAGTGAGCGTGTGGGACTGGCGTGGGTGTGTCGGCACAGAGAGAGCACGGTGTTTGTGCATCCGCGTGGGAAATCGTGTCTCGGATGGAGACCGTTGCGAACGTGTCGGGCGGAGTGGGGTGTGAGAGCCCTTCACGTTTGTGCGCGGGGGAGAGGACACCTCCTGGGGGCCTGTGTGCGGCCAGTGTGGGTGGGAGGCGCCGAACCACGGATCGTCCCCGGAAGGCCTGCAGTGGCAGCGTCTCTGAGGCTGTGGGGTGTGCAGGTGGGTGACGAGGGCCCGTGGGCCGTGCGTGTCTGAGGGAGTGAGGCTCAGGGCATGTGGTGTTTGCGCCTCACCGTGTGTGTTTGTCCCCGTGGCCTCGGCGGCCGTGGTGTGTGTGGCTGCCTGTGACGTGCCTGCCTTTGGGTGCTTGCGTCCTGTGTGATCAGGAGGTGTGTGAGACCTTGTGTCAGTGTTTGTGTGTCACCTGTGTGCTTGTAACTGGCCCCGTGTAACTGGTGTGGACGTGTTGTCGAGATAAGAATCCTGGAGTAGAATTTCCTGCTCCCAGTCCAAGAGCTTCTGTAAGAAGCAAGTGCTGGGGTGACTGGAGATGTGACTGGAGCCAGAGGTACCCTTACGGGCGACAGGACAGAGGGGAACCCGAGGGCTGTGGACAGAGGTGAGAGGGAAGGCGGCACGGCTGAATCCACTACCCCGGGTGCAAGGACGGCGAGCCCCTGGGGCTTTGGGTGGAGCTGGGGGGTAACCCTGGCCGCTGGTGGCATTTAGGAGTCAGAATTCCAAACTAGACCGTCACAGCATGAAGCAGAGACATAAGAAGGGGCAGTTTACCCTATAAAGTGGACAAAGTAACTGTTTCACAGGACTATGTTTAAAATTAAGTGAGAGAGTATAATCTGCCGACTATGTAGGATATCGCAAGATTTGTATTCAGAGTAAGACCCCAGAATAGATAGGAAGGTAAGTTTTAATTTAAGAGAAGTGGACTTTACCTGTTCTACCCGTCAACAGCCATAAATTGCCCATAATCTCCCAGTTCTGTGGGCAGTGGAACCCCAGAAAGCTGGGAGGAAGAAGGAAAGAGAATCTTTTGGCTGGTGATTCTGGGGGTACAGAGAAGGCCTCTTCTCACTCTCCTTTCTCTCCCTCCAGCCGCACCCTCCCGGGACACTGCCATTCTGCGAGGGCGCAGCCAGGAGAGGATGTGAAAATGACTGTGCGACTGGTGAAAGCCACACCGGGGGTTAGTGATGGCCTTCCTTCCCCATGAACGGCGGTCCTACTGTTCAGGACCTAGTAACGCTTCTGTTCTTTTGAAAGTTCCCTGGTTAACGTGTTGTCCAAGGGCCTGGTTCCCAGTTCCCCCGGAGGGTGCTGTCCTTAACAGTGATGATGAGGCCCTGAGCCCCCTCTTCCCCCTCCATTAGTTCAGTGTTGACACTTGTGAAAATATATATGGAATAGAGGTGTCTTGGTGACAGTGCGTTGGGTTCCAAGATACATGTGCACCTGGTGGCCGTCTCCTGCTCTGACAGTGCACCGGAAATCATCCTCTGCGCCCAGATCTCTAATGATAAACTTCACTTTGTAAAGGTTTTTCTTTATGTGTGAATTCTCAGCCTTATTTGTTCACCTAAAAAATCGTGTCCTACTTAATGTTTGCGAATTTAAAAAATTAGGTGATATATGCACTTATATAATGATACGCACATTATATAAAAATTCAAGACACAAAACCTCCCTCATGCCTCTCAGTTCTTCTTGTGAGAGGCAGTAACTACTCTCAGCTTCTCATATTTCATTCAGGGCTAGTCTTTCTTCTCAGGGC